GGAACAGTCCCTCCAAAAGCGGGACAGTTGGGAGATATGGGGAACATTTTTTTACAGGTTTTGCTTAAATTGAGTTTACATTATGGTGGCTTTTATTTCTGTAGATAGACGCCTTATTGTGTTAGTCAGGTACACTCTTTGCAAATGTCAACTCTTACAGACTGACAGCACAGTTTACAGATCATGTAGCATAGTTCTGTAACTTAACTGAAGGTGTAAATTCCCATAAGACCCTCCTTTATGTTGCCTTTCCATAAATTGGGGAATATTCTGGACTTTCAATAATTAGGGTCCCTGCAACACACACACACACCTATAAATGAAATGGTGTGTTACACTGGAGGCTACTCTTCAATGCACACATTTAGGGTGTTATTGACACAGCGAGCCGAAGAATCAGCGGTAGCTCCAGCTGTTCCTTAGGCTAGCTTCGGTTGCGGGAGCCCTTCTGTTCAGTCGAACCGAAGGGCTGCTGTACAAGCTATTCACTAAAGCCCGTGCAGCTCCCGAAGGCGGCCGAGCAGCAACAGCCGAGCCAAAGGCATATGCTTCGGCTCGACTGAGCCGTAGTGACAGCTGAAGCGGGGCGAAAAACCCGCCGAATCTCTCGCAAATGACAGCTTGGCGGAGCCAGACGTGATCTCACGGCTGGCTCTACCCAGTTGTAATGACAGTTGTAATTTTCTTTTTTGTATCTTTATTTTTTTACATTTATTATTTATTTACATTTTTAAACATTTTGTTTCTACTGTCTTTTCAACTTTTTTCATTGATTTCCTTTTCTGCTCGGTACCATAGAGGTACCGAGTAGAATAGCCATTCACTCACTACCGTTCGGCCCCAGATGTTGGATCGGCTGAGTTGAAGTCCTTCGGGTCAGCCGAACATGCAGAGCACTGAAGTGCAGCCGAAGGTCGTCTGATTTCAGACGATGTACGGCTGAAATCAGCTGTGCAAGCTTGAAGTGAATAACCTTCACTTCGGGTGGGTTATTCACTCGGCTGCCTTCAGATGACCAGCAAAACGTCTTCAAGAAAAATACAACAAGTCCAGTTGCCTTGATTTTTTTTTTTTTACACATACAAGTTTAAAATGGCATTCCTGCCATCATCAGCTGCACTGTGTCACAGTTTGTCACGATTTTTTGACTTGCAGTATTGGCCATTTCATTTAGTGCATGCATTTAATTGTATGCTGCCGCAAACTGTTAGGGGCCCCTGCCAGATAGTCCTATTTTCTGCTTTAAGCTATAGCAGTTAGACCTGCCTTCCATTACTGTGGCCACCCAAAATTCCTAAATATTTTATTTATAAAACATTAACTTTTTTAACAGTTGATGTGGCATATTGTGGGCTTTGCTGATTGGGAAGCCCACCGGTCGAATTTTAGATGAGTCAGCAGGAGTTGGCTGGAATTCGACTAGTGTATGCAGGGGTGTTCCTAGACTTTTTGCCACCTGAGCAAGGGGGCAAAAAGGTTGCTGGTGGTGAACATTAAGGGGGGTGGGTGGTCTATGGTGTTGGTTGTTGGCGCTGGTGGTAGACAATACTGGGGGGGGGTGGATGGGTGAAGGGGAGTGCTGGTGGTACACCCTACCATGTGGGGGGGGGAAGGTGCTGGTGGTGCACGGTACCTCTGGCTCCAGCTCTGTCCAGTGCCCCGCCCAGCTCACTGACATGAGATGTTGCCAGGAGATAGGCAGGGCTTCGGCCAGAGCATCCCAGGTTGCTAAGCACTCTAGGCAACCTGGGACACTCTGTCCGGAAAGGGGGCATCAGGCACACCTGCTGCACCCCCCCCACGTGACCCAATGAGGTGCCGCATGAGGCATCCGCCTGTAGCTGCCTTATTAAAGGGACAGTCCTGAGTGTATGGCCAACTTTCTATACAATTTAATTCAGATGCAATTTAACCATAATCAATGTCGTATAAAGTCAGTCACTTTGTTTTGGCAAACTACTTTTTAGGCAAGGCTTGAAGCTACTTTGCATACAATGTTGTGCTTTACAACTTCTCTTACCACCTTGTGTAAGCAAGGCTTCAGTAGACTCCAATGGAGATGGTGATTGAACCAGTGAGCACTGACCAGCATTTCCACAGGCTCAGATTCAGGGCAGTTGATAAATGTTTGAGCAGAATGTAGTTGGATTTCTTGAATAGGTTAAATGCAAAAATGTCTTGCTTAATTAGAATATACCTTTAAAACGTCTCATTAATAGTATTCTAATCCTCTGCTTTATCCTGCACTATTTAAAAAAAATGACATGATACTTCATATGTAGCCTGTTAGAACATCCTAACTAACATTATTTATGCCACGTTATTTTGTTTCAGAATTTAAATTCAAACTCACAGGCAAATATTTTATTTATCACAGATAACAAATAATTTATGCATTTTCTTTTTAATTGGAATATGCTACACAAATACAACCCCCTCCTAATTAAAATGAGATAGACATTGGTATTTAAATCTCAGCTGGTGGTTCGGCAATTCTTCAATGTTTCATGATTAGGAAAAACTGAAAAAGTAATTTTGATACATGAATCCATTTGTGGCTTCCTGTCTTAATACGTTAATATTATGTATTTGTTGTATTGCGGCAGCGTTTGTTTTAATTATTTGTGTAAATGTTTATTTCAGTAAGAATATAATTCCATTACCGGCCATAACAAGGGAAAATGTTTAGAAGGATTGTGACACGTTGTGAGTTTTTACTTGTGATTTGATCACAGTTCTAGGAGGGAATAGGGATTATACACAAGGGGAAGACAAAATAACACAACATGAAACAGTAGTTTAAAGGAGTTAAACCCTTCACTGCCAGGCCCTGCCTCCTATTTTTCACCTTAAGCCGAACCATTGTTTCAACTTTTATTATTTGCTGCTATTTTCACAGTTGTCATTTACACTTTGAAAGTTAGTAAAAGACACCCCTGAGCGATATATTTTCTGAAAGCACAGGACCTGTAGAATAAAAGACGGTGCTAATAATTTTCTACACCCCATGATAATTGCGTAAATGTTTATCAAATCCGAATTTTCAATTAAAATGCACTAAAATCAATATTAGCGCACACAAACACAACATAATTCCCAAAATTCTCACTACATCGAAGTGTTAAAACAGTATCGACTTAGTAAAAAACAAATATTTGTCATTTTTAAATTGCAAAATGGCGGTCCAATCAAAATTTATAGTAACTTGTGACAAAGTGGGGTTGATTTACTAAAGGCAAAAAGGCGGTTAACAATGCAAGGGACTTTGCACATTGCAGGGGATGTTTCCCTTAGCTTGGTGAATGTGGTAAAATTTTGCTTTGCAAAGAATACCCAGTCATCGCAAGTACGATCTGCCTGTCCAAGATAGGCAGATTGTACGTTATTTTAATTACCTTACAACCATCGCAAGACTAAAGTCTTGCGATGGTTGTAAGGTGTGTGCCCAGCCTTATTTTGCCCACCTACTGCTGTGGATCTCATAAACAGAAACCTGATTTTTAACTTCTTTTCCTCTGTAGCATAAACTGCGTTTTTCTAAAATGAGCTGATTGGTGATGTTTTCTGGGGGGATCACCTTTTTCAACAGACTGCATTTTGGTATTTCAGACCCCACCTCATCTGTGCTTGTGTTACATTACCTAACTGCCTATGGTAAGGCTAAAGCTAGCCATACACAGTTAGAATTTTGTTGATTTGATTTTATAATAGTTGATGGGGAAAAATTGACAATCATTTTTGATTATAGTGATTAGAAAAATCGAAGGACCAGGTTGGAGAACTTTTCTTGCTTCTTATCTGAACACATTAAATTCTGACTGCTAATGTGGTCATCAGTTGGGAAAAATTGTACTTATTGTAATGCCCATGTCCTAGAACATTTGTGGTCATGAACATTCGTTCGGTAAAAAATTACGTGTGGTATAGGAATGTATGAAAGAGCAATACAAACAAAGGTTTGTTTATAGAGTATGCAAAGTTAGATTCATAAGTAAATTCTATAATATACAATATCCATATTATAGCCACTGCAACCTCATGGCCTGATGAACATAAAACATATATAGAAATATACTGCTAAATATGCAATATACTATAAATCAACTTTACTTTGCATTATTCTTTCATTGATTTCATCAGCAATAAAAGAAACATGTTTATCATGTCTGCAATTCCATTCAAGTAGCTGATCTGGATACAATTTTTTAAGGGCTTTTGAGCTAAATTAGTTGACTCGATGATGGTATGGTTGAATGCCCTGACTAATGATTTTTCAGAATTTCATATGAACATTTGAACGAAATTCTAACCATGTATGGCCAGATTAAGGCTTAAACTGCAAGGGATACCTTAAACCACTCAATTAAAGTCATCCACAGTTGATTGTGATTTGTCTCCTTTATTCAGTTCCCTAGTGGACCTCTAAAAGTTTGCATGTAGCCACAAAGTCATGAAGTGCAACTGTGCGTGATTATGTGTGATTAATTGAGGATGATTGCAACTACCTTGATCATCTAGCGATCACTAAAAGTGAATGATTGTGATTAATCAGGATAATCCACAATCAGATACAGGCAGTTTTTAATTATGCAGCTCAAGTGGATGGAAATAACTATTTAAGTTAAAGATAGAAGTCCTTATATTGATTCTTGTTCCAGGTCAGTGATTTAGAGCAGTGCAGGTCAGAATGACAGTCAGTCAAGTAGGATTTTTAGAAGTAGAGTTCAACAAAAGCCTTCATGTTTATCTTATCACAGGTTTATTTTAACATTTGAGTGACTGTTGTCAAAAATCTCATACAAATGTGCCTGGGTCCTTATTGCCCTACCAAGCCAGGAAGGGTAGGAGGCCATCCAGCTTTATAGGCTGAGGAGAAGCTGCACTAGTGAACCCAGGGCAATTCCACTTTTGTTTGCAATGCATTGCCACATCTGATCTTTTTAAGCACAACGTATGTCCTTTTATTGCATTCTAAACCATTTTTATATCTCTCTTTGCAGTTTGCTCTCAGTATTCAAGAGGAGTGTTTGCCATCTTTGGGCTGTATGACAAGAGATCGGTACACACCCTGACCTCATTCTGCAGTGCTTTGCACATTTCCCTCATCACCCCCAGTTTCCCAACAGAAGGTGAAAGTCAGTTCGTGTTGCAGCTGAGACCATCATTACGGGGAGCACTGCTAAGTCTACTAGATCATTATGGATGGAACCATTATGTATTTCTATATGACACAGACAGAGGTAAGTACTAGAACAATTTTCCTTCACATTGTTATGTACATGTGTCTTGTGAGTTGCCATTTTTCTTTGTTCAGTGTTGTTTTCTTTTCTCTTTTTAAAAAAAGTGGTGTGGTTGGGCAGTTTTTATTTTGTGATCTATTTTTAGGGGTTTAGGTAGATAAACAAAGTTCATAGGAAACATAGGGGTCTATTCACCAAGCTGAGCCGAGTGAAAGACTGACCTGAAGTGAAGTGGGCCGAACACTGTTCGGCTATTTACTTCAGGCTGGTATGGCTGATTTCAGCCGTATATCGGCTGAATTCAGCCATACATCGGGTGGCTTCACGTGGCTTCGGGTCGGCCGAACATGAACAGCATGTTTGGCCAACCCGAAGTGCAGGAGGAGTTCAACTCAGCCGATCCAACATCTGGATCGGCTAAGCCGAAATTCCGGCAGGCTACTCGCTGCTGTTCGGTCTATTCTTATAGATGCCGAACAGCAGTGAGTGAATAGCCGAATGCCGCTCAGCGGCATTCGGCTCGGCTGTTCTGCTCGGTCCCTCAGAGGGACCGAGCAGAACAGAAAAATAGTTTAAAAAGTCCCAAAAAGTAAATAGAAAACCATTATGCGGAGCTAGCAATGACAGCTAGCTCCGCCCCAATAGTTTTCTATTGGCCGGCGGTTCTGCTGCCGTCAAAAAAAAAAAAGTCTCCCGCTCCTGGCCGCCAGGAGAGAAACACTGATTTTTTTTTCTTTATTATGACACGGAGCCGTGTCAGAATAGAAAAAAATATGTTTTTTTGCCCGTAGAAATGCATTGCTAGATTCCTATTGGCTATTTCAATTTGCAATAGCCAATAGGAATCTAGCAATGCATTCCTATAGGTAAACATTTTTTTTTTCTATTCTGATCATGGCTGGCTCCGCCCAGCTGTCAGAAGCAGGCTGTCAGCCGGCCAATGGACGGCCGCTCGGCCAGCTTCTGCTTTCAGCGTGGCTCAGCCGAGCTGAGGCACATGCCTTCGGCTCGACTGAGCCGCTCGGCTAAGTTCGGGAGCTGTACGAAGGATCGGCCAAAGCTACGGCTAGATCCTTCGGCTGCTTCGTAAATAGACCCCATAGTGTGACTGGAGTAGTGTGGTAGTGTGTTTTGGCTCCAGTTAGGTTTTTGAAGGTCTCTGGGAAACTGTTTGGTAGATGTCCTGCTCTGAATGACTGTGAGAGCTATAATGGCTTGGAAGGAGACTCAACCCGGCACCACTTCAGTCTAAATGAATTACATGTTGGTGAAGTTCTTCTCAAGCTATATCTAAAGCCAAAACATTTTGGTAGTTTAGAATAGAGTAGCAAATGGTTAAAACCTTTTCAGGCTTTTTTTTACTCAGTGAAAACATGTTCCTGAGTGCAAATCTTCAGCCAGTAGAAAAAGTCATCATTTGAGTCTGATGGTTTGGGTCTAGGAGCTCACTACAAAACAAAACAGGGACAACCCCCAAGAAGTGGAGGTCAAACCAAATCAAGCAAATTGAAGTTTGGCTAAAGTGATCACCAAACAAAAGAAGAGTCCCATATTTTGTTTTATTTCTATAAGTGACAACAAGAAAACAAAAGACAATGCATCTCAGGGACCACAAATTCCCCTTAATTTGGGCTACAATCAATGTATCAAAGTGTATATTGGACTTAAAACACAGAGCTCCTGGGCATTCTGGTGTATGGCAGGAGAAGTTTAGAACAACAGTCAATGAGCAAGTGCACCAGCATCAGTGGTAAAATAATGGAGCCTATTCCCTAATATTATACCACTGATGTTAGAACAATTGTTCATTGACTGTTTTTCCAAACATCTTCTGCCAGTGACTGGTATGATCAGGAGCTCTGTGTTTTGAATGGCAGAAGATGTTTGCCTTAGCTTAGTGAATGAGGGGAAGCTCTGCTAACTTCCATCACCCAATCATGTGCAAGCAAAAATACAGTTGTTTTTTCTTTTTCTTTTCCTTGCACATGATTGGGTATTCTTTGCAATGGAAAATTGACCACATTCACCAAGCTAAGTGAAAATTCCCCTGTGAAGGGCAAATTCCCTTGCAAAGTGAACAGTTTATGAGCCTTTAGTAAATCAACATTATAGTCTTAAGCCCTAATGAAGGGCAATTTGTGTCCCCAAGAAACGTGTTGGCTGTCTCTGTTTTCTTGGCGCCACTCGTGGAAGAAAAAAATAAAACCTTTGAACTCTTTAGACATTTCTTTGATGCTCATTTCAACTAGATGTTAAATATATTTACTGTCTGTGTCCCATTTGAGAGCTTTTCCTTCACCTTCTGTATCAGAGACACAGCAGGAAGTAAGAGTAAATCTCTCTAAAGTGAAGGAAATCTTCTCTTTGCTACAGTTGCTAGATGAACAAGTGTCCTTATTGGAAGATTTTCTCTCCTGTTTCCTCCCTTCCTGTAGTGGTGACAACTCAACATTTTTGGATTTTCAGTCCAAGTGACATGATTCACTAGGATGATTAGAGAGGGTAAACCTCTGCAACAAAAACATAGACAGCAGTAACAATCTGACAGGGGTTTTAACCCTTCTAAAAGGGAAAATGGCTTTAGATATATGTTTAGAGGCCAGTGATCTATGTTCATTGATGTACAATCTAAATTATGTACAGATTCAAACTCAACTATTACAAAAAGCCTTGATGAATCAATCTGATCCAGGAACTTCTTAATATATTTTATATATGTTTTACCTATTTATACTATAGGAGTATAATTAATTTCTACTTTATTTATATTTAATAACATACATCCCAAATTTCTGTGCACAGATCCCCTTCTGATCGGAATGGATGTGACCGTTGGTGACATCCGTGTCTGTGCAGCTCTTTCCTCCATCTTCCAATGGAGAAAAAAACCTGACATTACCAGATCTATGGTAGAACACGGGCAGCCACATCTAAACAGGTGGGCATCCTTTTACATCCGGTTACCCCCAATCCAGCACAATGAGGTCCGGCGAAACAGATTTATGATCCATTTAATTTTCCCCAGACCTGGCTAGAGTCAGGTGTAACCTGATATAAATGGACGCTGTTTATATCTGGGTGCCCATTGGATGAGGTCTGCCTGAAAAACTGCCAGGTGGACCTTATCAGAAAGCCCATGTGAAAGGGGCCTAGAATATTTAGTAGCTAAATAGTACCTTTTCTATACATCAGACCAAAAAGAGGGATATCAGAGAAGGAAAGATGGACTGAGTGATTTGGTTCCAAAAGCGAGACAGTCCCTACAAATAAGTGACAGTTGGGAGCTCTGTAAAAAGCTTTCGAGGATTCCAAGCTGAAAAAAAACTAAATAGAGAAAAAAAAGTTTGTAATGAAAAAGTTAAATTGATAAATTCTATACAAAATGTAATATGTAAATCCAGCCAATGAATAAGGAGAGTTATGTTCGACCCATATGACCTTGTTCAGGACCTGTTGTTCCTTTAGCACCCTGTTCTTACACAGCATGATATGACTCTTCTTGCTACAAATCATTACAACAATAATACAACAAATGAATACAGGGGAGGCTGCAAAACTAAATCTGTAGCTTGGATTGTGTTCAGTTTTCCTTCAGGCCAGCACTGTTCACGAGAAGTACCTGCAAGCTACAAAGCTGCCAGTTATTCACAGCCATGCAGGAGTTAGAAACATTTGAAGCATCTGTCTTTGAAATCAGTAATTATAGGGGCACCTATACCAGAATGTTGTAATTCACCGAGCTAACGTTTATAGGAATATTGTCTCTCCAAAAGCAGACAGGATTACTGGAGGGAAAATTGGAAGACAGGCTTCAGAGGGAATGTTATGTTCCGTACCAGGTTGTCATAACCCGTGGGAAATAACCCGGTAATAATCCCACAAATTGCTCTGTTATAATATGATCCCTTTGATTTTGTAGAATCTATGTTCTGATTACGTTTAAGGCTTGCAGGTTCCTCTGGAGACACTTGATTTATATGTCAATAACACAACTACCATAGACATCTCATTTATTGGTACTATATATTTTATTGCCAACTTAAAATGGTTAATTCAGGGCTGGGGTTGTATACTGCTTTTGTTTTATAATCCAAATAAGAAATGAAAAAGTAAACGTGGCTCTTGTCAACACAGCTACAGTTCATATGCTGATATATGGGGGCTTTTTACCAACCAAAACAATTGCAGAGATAACAGAGGAGTGCATTTATAAATAGTTTGCAGAGCCATTCACTCTGATAAACTCTGTAAAGCTTTGTTCTGTGTGAATGGGGGCAAAAATGAACATTTTTAGTATATTTTCTTTTCAAGTTGAATGTAATATCGGGAAAATACAGCATTATGGCCGGTAGATGGAACCGAGGAGCATTGGAAAGAAGTATGTTCCTCAGTTCCGTCTAGTGACCGCAATGCAGTATTTTCCTAATATTACTTTCATCTGGAAAGAAAATATACAGTAAACTCTCAGTTACCCAGCACCCAAGGGGAATGATAGATGCCGGATAACTGTAGTTTCTATTTGCTTGAGAGTTATCATTAACTCTCAAACAACAACCCTAAAATTGGTGGAGAAAAGATTTAACCACAAAGGGCGTAGTAGCTTCTTTTCAGTCAGAGTGGTTACATTTTGGAACTCTTTGCCACAAGCAGTGGTATCAGCAGAGAGTATTGAATCATTCAAAAATCAATTAGATACCTTCATAAGAGACCGTAACATACAGGGGTACAGGTACTCTTAAAAACTAAGACCACACAGGGACTCATATACATACAGAAAATTCAAAAAAGGTCACAAGCACTCCAGCATGTAGAAAAGGCAATGTTTATTGACTTCACAAGTGTCACATCATCAGAGCGACGATACACACGCATGCACGTACTCACAAACACACACATACACACAAAGGTTGAACATGATGGACCTGTGTCTTTATTCAACCTCAAAAACTATATAACCCCTCCTTCCCTGCCCCATTTATCTGCTGGCTAGATTCTGCTAT